TGGCTAAAATCCTTGAGGAGGGAGGAGGGGCAAGTAGGATATTAATTCAACTTGGAAGCGATCACCGTCAGTCTCCCCACTGGGTGGCGCAGGTGAGCAGTTCTAGTTTCCTTGGCTTTGGTCTTTATCCTGCTGAAAAAAATCTTTCCTGTTTAACCCAGTAGCAGAAATAAAAAGGGGGAGGGAGGAATAATAATAATAAGCCACCTACCATATTGCCCACTGTGTGCCAGGCGCTACTTTTAAGAAGAGCTATTAGAATGGTGGCTAAGAGTTAGGTTTTCCAGCAAGACCCCAGCTCTGTCGTCTCCCAGCTATAATGGCCTTGAATATGTTACTTCACCTCTCTGTGCCTCAACTTCCACATCTATAAAATGGAGAATGAGCGATAGAATTCCAAGGCCCACCTCTTGGAATTGTTAGGATTAAATTAATTAATATCAGTATAGTGCCTAGAGTAACATATGACACGCAGTATGACCTACATGGCATTATATTCTCATTTCTTTACCTGCATTTAGCATTCACAGCAACCTAATGAAGCAATACTATCATTTATTTTATTTTATTTTATTTTTTATCATCCCCATTTTAAGTACCCAGAAACTGGCTTGCCCAAGATCACAGAACTAGTAATGGCAGAGTCAGAATTCGAACCCATGAACTTGTCCTTGTATCGGCCAGATCCTTTTTGGCCCCGGATTTACTTAATGCATCTTTCCCAGACCTTTAGAAGGGTGGCTCTGTGACGTCGCCAGTCATTAGCTTCGTATGTTCTTCTCCGAGAATTTGCGACTGGAGCCCCTCACCCCATCTTATCTCGCCGCCCCTCCGCACCCTCCCACCCCCGCAGGTCGCCGACTGTGCCTGGGCGAGTCGCTGGCGCGCATGGAGCTCTTCCTCTACCTCACCGCCATCCTGCAGAGCTTCTCGCTGCAGCCGCTGGGGGCGCCCGAGGACATCGACCTGACGCCGCTCAGCTCCGGGCTGGGCAACTTACCGCGGCCTTTCCAGCTGTGCCTGCGCATGCGCTGACGCTACGGCCGTTCCAGATTCGCGGGTGGGCGGGGAGGCCCGCGGGGGGCTGCCCCAGTCACCTGCTCTTTCCGCTGTGCCCCCATCCCATCGCCCTCACGCTCGCTTCCCCGCACCTGTGCCTGCCGCCTCCCCAGCCCCCAACCCCCATCCTGACCTGGTCTGCGCCCCCAGAGGCAGAGAAACGCAAGGGGAAAGAGAAGAGCTTGCCTCGTTCTATCGCGCGCCCTTTTGGGGGCTGTTTTTATAATTTTCTAATAAAGTATCTTTATAAAAGATTCAAACCTGCCTGGGCTGAATTACAGGGAGGAGGGCAGCCCCCTAGGATGGGGAGAAGGAAGGTCTGGCTCAAAGGAGACACCGAACTGTTCTAGTTCTACCTTCACTCTTAGAGCGGCTGGAAATTGGGAGAAATTGTGTCCTGGGGTAAGGGTCGGACGACAGCCTGACGACAGAGAGGCAGAGAAAAAGGCAGAAGCCCAGAGATACACAGGACGGGTCTGCAAGAGATGCAGGGTGCCATACCAGATGGAGATGGAGATGGAAGCAGGGAGAACTTGACAGACCCAGAGACAGAGACACAGAGACTGAGAAATAACACTAATACTTACACAGTGCTTCCTATTCACTATAAATGCCCCCCATCTAAATCTCCCTATAAGACAAAGAAGCATTATACACTTTTTTAAAGATTTTATTTATTTATTTGAGACAGTGAGAAAAACCATGAGCAAGGAGGAGAGGGAGAAACAGACTCCCCACTGAGCAGGGAGTCCAACGCAGGGCTCCATCCTAGGATTCCGGGATCATGACCTGAGCTGAAGGCAGATGCTCAACCGATTGAGCCACCCAAGCGTCCCACATTATACACTTTTAGAGACTCGGAGAGGTGAAATGACTTGGCCAAGATCACATAGCCGGAAGCAGGCAGGGCTGGGAACAGAACTCTAACTCCAACACTGCTCCCTTCCACATCACAAGTCAGAGACGCAGAGGGGTACACGGACGGAGAAATGGGGAGACAGAGAGAAGAGAGAGAGCGATAAAGAAACAGAAATGGCCAGAGAAGTCCAGAGAGGAAGAGCTATGAAGGGGAGAAGTAAGACACTGGAAGACTACTCAGACTATTCCTTTGTCTTGCAATTCCTCCCTTTGGGGTGGGGATAGCAGTCCCGGGCACGGGGCCTCCTGACCTGGGACTGGATTTGTCAGCCTGACATCCTGCTGACAGAAGCATTTCTCAATGAATGGGGCGTCTTCGGTTCCGTGGAGTCAGAGTTAGGCAGAGTGGTGGTGGCTCCCCAGCCATGGGTGGAGGTGGCCCGGATGACCATACCCTAAACGGGGTCTCCCCAAGGCCATCCAGAAACTGGGGCATGCTCTGCTGAGACTTATAGGCGGTCCCCATACCAGGCGTTGGCTCCTTAATCCCCACGCTGTTCTCACCACAGGCCAACCACAGAGTCTGCCCCAAGGGCCCAGGCAGGGACACGGAGGGGGAGAGAGAGAGGGAGAGACTCCGAGGTCTTGAGGAAGAAAGATGAAGAGACAGCAAAGAGAAACACATGGACGTACTAAAAAAGAGATGCAGAGAGACAGAGAGATGCAGAGAGACAGACAGGAGAGATCCTGAAAACCACAGACTAGGAGAGACACAGAGAGACAGGGAGGCACTGACAGGAAGGGAGAGACATGCCCAGAGAGAAGGAAGACAAGGAGATTCTAAAGCAGAGCTAGAAATTGAGAGGAACAGAGATGAAGAGAGACAGAGATCTGAGAGCAGAAGGAAAAGGGAACTAGAGAGACAGGAGCCATAAAAGGTGAGACACAGAGACAGACAAGGAGAGAGACGGTCACAAGGATCTGGCAAAAGACAGAGACGGAGGAAAATAGAGTCCGAGTTAAAGACAGAGACAGACAGAAATCGGGATAGAGTCATGCATTGGCTCTACAAACATTTACTGAGCACCCTCTGTGCGCTGAGCACTGTTTTAGTGCCGGGGATACAGAAGCGAACAGGACAAACGCCTGCTCTTGAAGCGACCCAGAGAGCGCGGCTCACCAGGGTTCCTGGACGGAGAAAGCCTGACAGGTCGGGAGATCCAGGGCAGAGACAGAGGCAGGGAGACAGGGAAGGGGGAGATGAAGGGAAAGAGAACTGAGAGGGAAACCAACAGGAACAGAAGCAGAGTAAAACAGAGGCGGAAAGAGAGAGAGAGAGATGAACAAAGAAACACAGAGGAAGACGCTGAGAGCTGAAACAAAGATAAACAGAGAGAGACAGAGACCCTGAGAGACACTCCCAGAGACAAGGCCAGTCCCAGAGGCTGTGCCGTCCCCACCCTCTCCCCAGGTCTGGGCCCTGTGCCAGGCACCTGGCGGAAGGCAGGGGCCGGCAGGAGGGTGGGTCGCCTTCCTGAACAGTGTACGGATAGAGCATACACGGTTCCAAGAGCAAGGGCATGGAAGTGACAGGGGCTCAGGCGCCTGTCCCTAGGAATCACAAGCACAGGGCACAGGAGTGCCAGGCTAATGGGCATGTCACCAGGGCTGTTTTTAGAAGTGTATTTGGAAGTCAAAAATGTATTTAGGAATCAGAAGTATAGGGTACAGCATTCAGGGGGTCACGGGCCCAAAGGTGGCCAGGGGGTTCAGAAATGCACACCTACAGGGCGCCTGGGTGGCTCAGTTGGTTAAGCGACTGCCTTCGGCTCGGGTCATGATCCTGGAGTCCCGGGATCGAGTCCCGCATCGGGCTCCCTGCTCGGCAGGGAGTCTGCTTCTCCCTCTGACCCTCCCCCCTCTCGTGCTCTCTCTATCTCATTCTCTCTCTCAAATAAATAAATAAAACCTTTAAAAAAAAAAAAAGAAATGCACACCTACGGGTCAAGGAAGATGGACCCCAAGGACCCAAAGGCTCAGTAGGGTGCACCTGTTGGTCAGGTGTATTGATATGGAATGCTAGTACAACAAAGCTGCCCAATAGGGCAGGCTGCGCCGGGCACAACAGTGGCAGAGCTGGGGGGCTCGGTGGAGACCTTGGGTTGGGGAATCTGCAATATGAGCAGCCTGGAGACGCCCACCTCTCCCACCACTCCCACGCTGGGTATTCAGGTATCTGGCGGGGGCTCCACCCAAGACCCAAAGGGAATCAAATAAAGGCGAAGGGGGGCAGGCAGGGAGGTTAAAGGGCATGATGCTCATGGGCATCACAGTGCCGCTGCTCCTCCTGCTGCTGGCCCTAGCCAGGTGGGGTTGGAGTGCTCAGGGTGCCCAGACTCAGGGGGCCCTACCCCCGGGGCCTACAGCATTCCCACTGCTGGGGAACCTGCTGCAGCTGGATTCCGGACGCCTGGACCGTGCACTCATGGAGGTAGCCCCGACCGTGGGCTGGGGGGCTGGAGGTCCTGGTTCTCTGAATGAAGACAGCTGAGGGCTCTTACCCCATGAGTCCTGAGGAGGGTTGAGGGGCCGGAGTCCTGTGTTCCAGGAAGGAAGGAGACTAGGGGTGGAAGCCGGGAGCCTGGACATCTGCTTGAGAGAGGAGAGGGACAGTGGGCCTGAGTTCCTGGTTCCTGGCAGAGTCGCCCTGGGATCCCCCTCTCCCTCCCCGCCCCCCCCCGCCCCACTCCTGGGTCCTGAGGGAGGAGGAGCCTAGAGTGAGAAGGCAGGTCGGGGGGCGGCGGGAAGGGGTGCCGAGGGGTCTGTTCTCCTGGTTCAAGGCGGGGAGGAGAGTACCGAGGGCCAAGACGGCTAGTTCTGAGGGTGCAGAGGGCTCGGGCCCTGGTCTTGTAGATCCCCTGGGAAGAGGGAGCTGGGGGCCTGGACTCCTGCGGATGGAGGAAGGAGGTGGGGATCTGACCTCCTCCGCCAGTGATGAGGGGATGAGATGGGGACTCCTGGGTCGGAAGGAAAGGGAGCAGGGGGCGGGGGCTCTGGGGTGGAGGAGGGGTCAGGAGCCCGGACCAGGACGCGCTGAGCACCCGCTCCGCGTAGCTCTCTGGCCGCTGGGGCCCAGTGTTCACAGTGCGGCTGGGCCCGCGCCCTGCAGTGGTGCTGTGCGGCTACTCAGCGCTGCGGGACGCATTAGTGCTGCAAGCGGATGCCTTCTCCGGCCGCGGGACCATGGCTGTTTTCGAACGCTTCACCCGCGGAAACGGTGAGTCCCAGGCTGTGGAAGTGAGGGCCTGGACCACCCAGTTTGAGCGATAAAGGGCGGGGCCGGGGGGATGGGGCGGGGCCGAATGAGAAGGCCAATGAAGGCAAACAGCGAGAAGGTGGGGCGGAGCTAAAGTGTAGGAGCCGAATGGGTGGGGGGGGAGGTGGGCGCTGGTTTCTGCTGCAGCCACTAGAAGAGACGAGCCCAAGAGTCAAAGCCAAAGATAGCAAGCACTGGTGAGGGATCGAGAGCAGCAGTGGTGGGGCCAAGGTGCGGACAAGGCCGAGAAGGCTGGGGTGGCAACCAAGAGTTCTGAAAGCAGCAGAATTGAAGGGTTGCGAGGAAGCCGGCTCCAAAACTGGACGCGTCCACGATGGGGCGTGGCCAATCCCCGGCCCGCCCCTTCTGTGCCCCACCCCCAGGCATCGTGTTTTCGAACGGGCGGCGCTGGGGGACGCTGCGCAATTTTGCGCTGGGAGCACTAAAGGAGTTCGGACCGGGAACGCGGACCATAGAGGAGCGCATCCTGGAGGAAGCGGCTTGTCTGCTCGGCGAATTTCAAGGCACCATTGGTGCGGCCTGGTGGGGATGTGGCCAATGATCAAGAAGGGGTAGGGTGGGGTGTCTGGCTAGCTCAGTCGGTAGAGCAAGCGATTCTCCGTCAGGGTTGTAGGTTCCAGCCACAGGTTTGGTGTAGCGATTACTTAAAAATAAAATATTTAAAAAGCAAGGCGGGGGACGCGGGAAGACATTTGTCGTGGAACGAAGTCGGTAAGCGGAGCCACAGCGAAAAGACCCTGTCCTGTTCGACTCCCAGGAACGCCATTCGACCCCCGGCGGCTACTAGATGATGCTGTGTCTAACGTTTTCTGTTCAGTGGTCTTCGGGAACCGCTATGGCTATGAGGACCCGGAGTTCCTGAGGCTCCTGGACCTCTTCCATGACAACTTCCGCATTATGAGTTCCAGATGGGGCGAGGTGAGAGGGCCAGCCTCAGACCCTCCCTCCTGTGTCTAACCTACGCCAAACCCGGAGTACATAGACCTACCGACCTTGGATCATTAGGTCAAGTCTTAGAATCTTGGAAGGGGAGAGTTCTAGAACTTAGAACATCAAAGTCCTGGTGCAATCTCCCCACAGGGGAACTAGTGGACTTGTTCGAGGTCTTGCTGCGGTCTTGTCCCCCTAGATGTACAACATTTTCCCCTCCTTCCTTGACTGGCTCCCGGGCCCGCACCACCGAATCTTTCAAAACTTCACGGAGCTTCGGGTCTTTATCTCTGAGCAAATCCAGCGGCACTAGCAGACGCGGCAGCCTGGGGAACCCCGTGATCTCATCGATTGCTTCCTGGATCAGATGGATAAGGTGCAGGCCCCTGCGACCATAGAACTCTCCCCTTGCTGCCCACCAGGAGGTGCCAGGCACGCCGCAGCACCCATCTCTGTCCACAGGAACAGGAAGACCCAGAGAGCCATTTCCAGGAGGAGACATTGGTGATGACGACGCATAACCTTTTCTTCGGCGGCACCGAGACCACGAGCACCACTCTGCGCTATGGGCTCCTCATTCTGCTTAAGTACCCAGAGGTGGCAGGTCCGGGAGCTGGAAAGCCTGGGGTGTGGGGGCTAGGGTTTGGGGATGGCTGGCAGCCAGGGCGTGCGCAGCTCACATCCTCTGCCCACACCAGCCAAAGTGCGGGCCGAGCTGGATGCTGTGGTAGGGCGGATGCGCACCCCAAGGCTGGAGGACCGGGAGCGCCTGCCCTACACGAACGCCGTGCTGCACGAGATCCAGCGCTGCATCAGCGTGCTGCCATTGGGGCTGCCACGTGCCCTCACCCATGACGCCCACCTGCGTGGCTACTTTCCGCCCAAGGTGCCCACCAAGCGTGGGGATTCTGTGCGGGCCTGGGAGCACCTATAACTGAAACCATCAGCCCTGAGCATGTGCCCTGGGATCAGGAAAGAAGGCCCACCTTCCCACTGGCTTTTAAATGGGGTCTTGGATGACTAAGCAAGTGCACAGGATAACCCCTGTGCACCCCACCCCCCAGGGCACCTTTGTGATTCCTCTGCTCGTGTCTTCACACCGGGACCCCACCCGGTTCAAAGACCCAGACTGCTTCAACCCCACCAAGTTCCTGGACGACAAGGGCAAGTTCCAGAGCAACGATGCCTTCATGCCCTTTGCCCCAGGTCTGGGCCAGGAAGGGAGGAGACGAGGCTGGGCAGGCCCCGGGGGTGCATGGTTCCCACCCTGCATCCCTGTCTCCTCAGGAAAACGGATGTGCCTGGACGCAGGCCTGGCGCGATCTGAGATCTTCCTCTTCTTCACCGCCAGCCTGCAGCGGTTCTGCCTGCTCCCTGTGGGGAGCCCCACCAACATCGACCTCACCCCGCAATGCACTGGCCTGGGCAACATCCCCCCAGCCTTCCAGCTCCGCCTGGTGGCCCACTGTGGTCGGGCTCAGCTGCCCTCTGCTCACCGGCTCCCGGACCTCCTTTCCCCCTTTGGTCAATAAAGGCCCCAAACTGCAGATGGACAGGTCTCCTTACCAATAAGAGGGAGCGAGAGAATCAGACGTTTGCAGCTCTGAGGTAAACTTTTATTTCTTTCTTGGCTGACAGGACTCTTCACACCCATGCTCCTCCCAGCACCTTTTCTCCTGCCCACGCAGGGGCAGCCTAGTCCAGAAGGTGCCGTGGCCATAGGGGTTGGGGGGTCACTTCACATTCCAGGCTGGAGGAGTGGGGGGCTTGGGGATACTGTCCCCCCCACGAACCTCTGCCAGCAAGAGGCCATGACATCCCCAACCCCCGATCCCGCAGCCTGGTGGGAGGTGGCAATGGCTCCTTCCAGCTCTCCCCGTCTGAGAGGAGCACAACCGGACAGGGCAAGCCACCGGGCCCCAGTGCCAGTGATGGTGGCTCCCGACACCGGCCCCTGCCCAGGTCACAGCCCCAGCCCCCATCACAGGCCAGCAGAGGTCTCTCCTCCCTGGTCCTCAGCGTCAGACGGAGCTCTCCACACCAGGCAGGCCGGAGGCAAAGCCGGAAGCAGCGGTGGTGGCAGCGAAGGAGCAGGCACCGAGACTGGCGGGGGGGCTGGGCCAGCAGCACAGGGCCAAAGGCTCTCCCCAAGTCAGGGCAGGCTGTCTGTCCATGCAGCTCTGGGGCTGGCCACTAGGTGGGCGTAGTCGGCTGTGACACAGGTACTTGGACACCTTTCTGTCCGGACGCTAGGGGGGAGGCGAGAGGAGACAGGGGGTCACCAGGGAAGGGACGCAGAGGCCAAGAAGAATGTGGGAAGATGGAGGAGAGGCCCGCATGCTGGGGGTGCCCAGGAGAGAGGGCTGCCTAGGGAAAATGGGCAGAGAGGAGAAAAAAAGAGCTGCAAACTTTAGGAAGAGACTGACGAGGTGGCTAAGGGGACTTGAGGCCTTGTGAGGTACATGGAACAGGAGGGGCTTGAGGGACGGGATGCCACTGGGGAAGCAGGTACCTAGTTGATACTTGTCTTTGGCTGCTGCCCGCTCCTTAGCATCAAAATACCAGACGGTGATGGCGTACCTGGGGACCAGAGCAGCCCCGAAGGGCAGTGAGCATGACTCTCCTTCAATCCCAGCCACCACATCCACAATGACACTGCAGTCCACCCTTCCGGGCCTGGTTCTGTTCCACCTGGGCCCGTCAGTGCTTCACTTCCTAGCCACTCCTGGGGTCTGACAGGACTTCGTCGGCACAGAGCGGGACGCCTGAGCACACCCCCACAAGTATCGATCATACCTGGTGGCATAGGCTGGTTTCACCTCGTGGGGGTTCCGCCGATCAGACCAGAAAATGAGCAACCGATCAAAGAGGGGCTCAATGTTGGCAACCACAGGCCGGCCCTCAGGGAAGATCTGCAGCAGGCCGCCATGCACCTAGGGGCAGGCCAGAGGATGAGGCAGGAGGCTGGCGGGTCCAGCCTGGAGCCTCTGCCTTGCACCGCCCTGGGCTCTGGATGTGGCAGCCGCACACATCACCCCCTCCCACCACTCAGGCTCTCAGAGTGAATGACAGCCCAGAGTCCGCGTCACCACGGAGCCAGGCAGGAAGCTACTAAAGACAGGAAATGGGAAAGGGTGGTGCTGCCACCACCCGGTCAGCTGGAGACAAGGAGGTGCCATTTCCCAGGAAGAGCCAGCCAGCAGGCCGACACTGCACTGCCCCGCCGTGGAGAACGCCAGAAGCTGAGCTGGGAGCGCAAAATGGAGTTGATGCAGCCGCCTCACCCTCACTCCCGCCCCCACCCTGACCCCCCAACCCCTACCTTGACATCCCAGTTCTGATTCAGGTAATAGATGCAGGTGATGCAGCGCCCATCGCCATGGGGATTGTCGACATGCCTCACGTACCCCAGCCCGTTGCCTGGGTAACACGCCACCATGGCCTGGCAGAAACAGATGGGAGTGGGCTTACGGGGCGAGGCAGAGATACTCGGGGAAGCAGCCGTTACCTCCTCTTTCTCACCCTTCCCGGCCCGTCTCTCCCCAGACTCTTCCCAAGGGCTCCAGCCCCCAGACTTACTTCTTGGTCAGCCAAGCCACAGCTCTTGGGCCTCCAGAGCCCACTCCCCACACACACGTGCCCAAAGCCGGGCACCCAGACGGGGCTCGATGAGTAACTGAGGATCTTGTTTTTTAAAGATAACCTGACCCTACCCCCCACCAGACCTTTCAGAATAAAACCAATTTACATGTTTTCTGGTATGGAGGGATGTGGCCTCACAGCCCTGCACCAGGGGTTCCTGACCTTGGCTTCAGCATGGAATCACCTGGGATGCTGATGCCCAGGCCCATCTCAGAGGTTCGGAAATACTTGGTCTAAGGTGGAGCCTGGAATATTGAAAGGTTCCCCAAATAATTCTAATGTACAGCAATGTTGAGAACTGCTCCCCTTGACTACAAAGAATCTGCACTAAATAAATGTATTTCCTACACATATACACGAGTACCAAAACCCCGAGTGTGACCAGAACCTGAGCTCTAACCTCCACTCCAAGGATAAACTGCTGGGTAGCCCCTGACAGTCCCATCACAGCCTCATCCGTTAAACAGACTAATAAACACCTCCTTTGTTTACAGACCTGGACATTCCTGACCCCCACAGACCCTGGCTTGTGTGTGTACAGGTCTAGCCACAGGGTTCTGACCTCTCCCAGGTGGCTGCCATCCCGAGGCCTCGGCCCCAGCTGCTCCGGCCTGTTTCCCATCAGGGAGCTGACAGAAAAGCGGATGTGGAGCGAGGGAAAGGGCCCCAGCGTTCCTTCGGACCGAACTCCCAGGTTCAAGGCCCAGTGCTGCCACACCAGCTGTAATATCAGGCGGGAGACTTCGTTTCCTGTCTCAGGTTCCTCAACCGTGAAATGGAGCTGATAAACTACTTCATGGGCCGTTGTGGGAATCGAGTCAGACAAATGTTCGGGAAGGCACCAAGCAGAGTGCCTGCCACGTGATGGAAAGCCAAAGCACAGGCTGAAATGACATTTAAAAAAAAAAAAAAGTCCCTGTCCTACCCTTTGCCCAAAGCCACTTGGGAGGGCTGCATAAGGCAAACGGGAGTACTGGTGTGCAGACCCTCCAGCTCCTTGGACCATCTGTCTTGACACCCTGAGCCATGCTCATTCCGGACCAGAGACCGCCGCCGGCTGCTCCCCACTTGCGCTCAGCTACGCCTGTGGGCCACAGCCCCAGGATAAACATTCCTGATCAAAAAGATGGACAGGAGGCTGGCCTAGCACTCCCAGGCAGCCCAGGTCAACTCAATCCTCAGCCTTCTTCCAACACGTTACTCCCAGGGCTCACCCGGCACGAGCAGTCCACAGCCCTGCATTAAACGTGCGCGTACCCGAAGACCACAGCATGCGCCCTGGGATGGAGGCCAGAAGGGCTGCAGCCGGTTGAGGCCACCCAGCAGTGGAGAGCCATGCTTCTCTCTGGCGGCACCGGGGCAAGACCTTGGCCCCCACATCCCCGGGGTTCAGGAGAATCTCTGCGCTGTTCACTCCCTGCAAATGGGTCAGTGCTCTGAGCAACCACTTCACTGGGAGAAAAGAACGTGGCTAAGCCCAGGTGGCCTGCAATCAGTGAATCACTGATGAAGGACCGGCAAGCCCTCCCCAGATAGAATCCAAGCAAAGATTTTGCTGGTTCTGCACAAGGATGGGGTGGGGAGAGGGGTCCAGGGCTGCAGCCTCTTTCCCACAATCCATCTCCACACAGCAGCCAGAAACCCTTTCCTCCAGCTCATCACTCAAATCCCTCAAGACCCCCATCACATGCCGAGAAAATGCAAAACATCAATTTCCTATTTTCACAGCCTCAGCCTCCAAGGCCACCAATATCAACTACTGCCTTCACTCTGCTCCAGCCCCTCAGGCCTAACTGCTCTCTGACCAGGCCAAGCTCATCCACAGAGCCTCTGCCCCTGCCTGGAACACACTTCCCCTGGTGCTCCTTGTTATTCACATCTCAGATCAAAGGGCACCTGAATACTCCGGCTGAAGGCTGATTTTCCATCCACCCCTCTAGATGTGAGATCAGTCCAGGTACTTGTTTACCTAGTACTGGCCCAACGGGCAGTCCCGGGGAAGCCCCTGGGGCCAGGCGTGTGTCCCTAGAGCCCAGGCAGTAGCTGCTTACAGAAAGCACTCCTCTGGATCTCAGGGACTCCACTGCATCCTGCCCTGCACACCCTCACACAGGGTCTCCCACCATGCAGGCAGGGGCAGCACCTGTATTCTGGAGTGGAAGGGGAGTTGTGCATGAAGCCTAGGCACAGAAAGAGGCCCTTTAAACTTCCACCAATCCCCCCACATACACACCTTGGTGGAGGGGGGGCATCCTCTGGCCCCAGAGAAGCACCTACTTCCTGCCCCCACAAGGGAAAGGGACAACAAGCAGAAGGACATGAAAGCCTGCTCCTCACCCTCCCATCTCAGGGAAGGGGCAGCTAGTATCAGAGCCAGGAGACTAAAGAATTAAAGGCTATTGTGACAATGTGCCAAAAGCCCCAACACCCACACCACACCACACACACACACACACATACACCACACACACACACACACACACACACAGTACGTCAGAAACTGGGGACTGAGCCAATGACAGCAGGCCCCACCTCCACGCTGCTCTTAAAGGGGCAACCAAGCCAGCCAGGCCCTCCCTGTGGTCCCCTATGGTTGTCCTTGATGCCAGTGGGAGTCAACTCTCTCCCACCTGCAGGTCAGCTGAGCAGAGGGATTAGAGACAGCTGGGAGAATAGAACATAGGAGCTCCATTCAGGAACGACCAACAGGCAGGTTGTTGCGGGCCCTAGCCACACTGGTAATCTGTGCCCCCCCACCTTGGAACCCCACACTCTTATTTCAGAGCCTGGGGAGGGAGTCCAGAGGTTGCACGTTGTAGGTGGGGAAGCCTGGAGTGGGCATCTCACCGGAGCGGGGGGGTGGGGTGGGGGGAGTGTGACAGGAACTCCAGTGACTGGGTCGGTTCCTCCCCGCCCTGCTCAGTCTAGCCAGGTTTGTTCTTATCCTCCCAGGACAAGAGAACTCACCCGGGGCTAAAATAGTCCCAACGCCCCCGCAACCCCCAATCTTAGCCGGGGCCCTAGCCCCAACCACATCCAAGGCACCAAAGGGGAAAGAAAGATCTGCTCACTCTACTTTGCCCTCCCCTCCTAAAACTGCCAAAGACTAGCTAGGGACTTAACTGATTTTCCTATCCTGTGGATAAGCAAACTGAGGCTAAAGAAAGTGTGCTGCTCTGGGCCATTCAGTTCTCACAGTCTCCCCTCAAACTCCCTCCTGCGAGAGTGGGTGACCTGGGGTGAAGATGCTGAGCACCTTGTGGCCAGGAGACTCCCTCTCATCTCTCCTGCCTGCACAGGAGCAGAGCCCAGGGAAGGGCCTCCTCTGGCTCTCCAGCTATCAAGTAACGGGAGGGAGGGGGAAGTAGGACAAGTCCGAGCTGGGTGGAGAGGATGCTGGCCTCGGCCCGAGGGAGCCTGGGTCCCTGAGCCAGCTCCAGCTGGAGACAGAAGCTGCACAGAGGCAGAACCCAAGATGGGATCAGAGGGAGGAGGGAGGAGACATTAGGAGCACGGCCTCATGCCCGCAGGGAAGCAAACAGCCCTGCCATCAGCCAGGCGTCACTGGCGTGCAGTAGGCACTCCCTACGGGGCCTTGGCCAAATGACACTAGCCTTGGACTCAAAGCCAGAGCTCTCTCACCCCCCTATGAAGAAAATTATTGTGTCAGAAAGCCAGAAAGGCCCAAAAGACCACTGTCTTGTGCAGAGCTCCTGACCCTAGGTTCTCAAATGGGCAGCTGGAGGCTCAGGAGGCGCTGATGACTGCCCATGAACTAGACAAATGAGCATTTTTCTTAAAAGAGGGTCTGTGGCTTCAGCGTTCTCAAAAAAGCCCAGGTTTTTTTGAAAAAAAAAAAAAAAATTAAAATATATATACATAAACTACTGTAGAACAAGAAAACGGTACCAAGACAAGACACAGAACAGAGAATCAAGGGAACAGATCAGAACTGACAAGAATACAGTGATGGACAGAAAGGATACAGGACAGGCATTAGCATGGGGAAGCATAGTGAAGATGAAGGATAGGATCCCCCTCCCGCAAGGCCAGCACCCAGGCACCCAGGAAGCTGTCCCGGCCCCAGATGCCACAGTGTGGCACAGGGGGTACAACGCAGTCCAGCGCCAAGCACAGCGGGCAGCACCTCCTCGCTCAGCCTGGCACGGGCCTCACCACTGCCACCCTCCCCACTCTGCCTTCTGGTTCTCCTGCCTGGGAGACAGAAGGGACAGACCAGAGGACAGGCCAGAGGCAGGCGACTGAAACGACAGACGAGACAAGGATGGATGAAAAGAGAGGCGAATGAGGAAAGAGAAAGTGCACAGACCCCCAAAGTCCCCACAGGGAGGGAGAGCCCCAATCAAACTCCAGCACCAACACTCACTCCACTGGAGCTGCCCAAGTCCTTTAGTGACCCCACAAGCCTATCTCCAAGGGCGCCGAAACTCAGAGCACCAGGTGCCCACCAAGCAGGTGCGGGGGGCCCCCTCCACACAAGGCCCTCACAGCCTTACCTTGGTGCGCCCGTTGATGACGTAGCCACCCAGGCGCCCAGCGCAGTGGCGGATCACAGCGTCCACGTGGGCCATGAGGACCCCGATGCTTCGGCAGCCCGGCTCATGGCCTTCCACCCAGGCAATCTGGTCCCCACGAATGCTGCGTGGCGGGATAGCCCGCTGGCTCACCAGCTGCCCGTCACGCAGGCGCCCGCTCCGCTTCAGGGCCTCCACCTCGGCCAGCACGCAGCCACCCAGCGCCGCCCCCAGGAAGCTGTCCTTGACACAGATGCCGTAGTACCGCATGCAGGGCACGATATAGTCCAGGGCCAGGCGCTCAGGCGCGGCGGGCAGCACCTCCTCCCTCGGCCCCGCGCTGGCCTCGCCATTGCCACTGCTGCAGCCCATGCTGCCCTCCCCTTCAGCCTCTGCCTCCTGGTTCTCCTGCCTGGCCCAGGACCGCTTGCTGGGTGCTGGGGCGTCCCCACCATCCTCTGCCCACTTCCGTTTGGGGGCCTCAGGCCGGGCGCCCTGGGCCGCCAGTCGCTGGCACCCCTTGGTGACCAGTGCTGCAGCGCCCTCACTCTGCAGTGGGCGCAGCTCACCACCATCCTGCCCGCCGAAGCCCTCCCGAAGGGGGCTGGCTATCGTGGAGGTGGCTGTGGCCCTGGGGGTCCCACTCCCCGCCGAGGCCTCACCAGGCGCTCCTGGGCGGTGGTAGGAGGGTAGCAGGGGACAGGGCAGGTAACTCTCCACCCCCATCCTGGCCCGACCAGGCTCCAAGGGCTCTGACACAGAACCCGGCAACTGAGGAAGAGCCTGACTCAGGGGCTGCGGCTGGCACGGGCTGTCCATGGCAGCAGCGTCTTCATCCCCCGGGCATGGAGGGCACGGCCCGGGCCCATGGTGCCACCCTCCTCCGCCTCCGCCTCCTCCACTTGATGCAGCCGGGGGCCGGGGCGGCTGAGCCTGGCGTAGGGCAGGGTGAGGCAGGGCAGGCAGCAGAGGCTCTTCTCACACCCTGGGGGTGCTCGCTGGTCCCCAAGTCCTCTGCCGCCCCTAGGGGCTTGGGAAAGGACCCGTCAGGGTGGCTGAAGGGGGAGAGAGAAAAAAAGGAATGTGAGAAGAGCTAGAGGCACTCGGAGTGGGGTAGAGGTGAGGGGTGGCAGGGGCAGTGAGGAAGTCAGATTTGGCTACACGGTCCCCCAAAATCTGAGGTCACACTGGGGAGAGGACCATGGGAATTTGGGGAGAGGAGGCAGTGAGGGAGGCAGCCGGAGGAGCGAGGCTGGGGAGATGACCCAAAGACACAGGACTGCGGTGGGGGCTGTGGGAGAGCATCCTCAGACACAGCAAACAGAAAGGACGGAGAGGACCTCAAGTAGAAAAGGAATGCTAGAGCAGTGGGGAGCGGGAGATCTGCCTGGGGATTCCAGAGACACACGGCTGGAACGGGGTGCTCCACAGAGCAAACCGGGGAGCCCAGAGACAAAGAGAATGGGGGCCCAGAGACGGAAAAGCCGACCGGGTAGAAGCTGGGAGGGCGGGCCTGAGACAGCCGGACAGAACGGGGCGGAGGGGTCAACCTAAGCCCAACGGGAGGAAGCCCGCCGGCGGCTGACACACACCCAGACGGAAGGGAGGGCCTAAGACAGACAGACAGACGGAAGGCAGCCGCGGGAGGAGGGTCCACGGCAACGGGGGAAAGGGCGGGGGAGGGTGCACGCACTCGGGGACAGGACGGGAGAAGGCGGCTCCTCCCAAGCCCCTTCGGTGCGGGCCTCCCCGCTCGGGGCGCTGTAGGCGACGGAAGCCGGGCCTAGGGACCGCTCGGACCACGAACCCCCTCCCTCTCCCC